CCTGTGATACGAGCCCGGCAGCCTGGTAAAGCCTTCCTGTTAATGATGCTGGCGAATGACTGGAGGAGAATTTCACTGCTGTCTTCTCCAGAAGGAAGTGCTGTGGACAGGCCCAGAGACACAGTCCTTCCTGCACAGCAGCTAGATCTGTGCCTTCTAAAAACTTTGTCTCTGTTAGGTTAGGTGACGGATAAAATGAGGGTGGGCTTTAACTCTGCTGAGCCTATTAGAATTTTGAAAACCTGTGTGCTGTTTATCTTTTAATTATTAAATATTTGCTCATTTGGATGTGTTTTCTGCTGGTTGTGAGGCATTAAAATCACATATGAGAGAAATTACATTTAATATCTTTGCCTGGGTAAATGTTAGCCCATTCGTTGTTTATTTTAGTTTCTTGTGATTTCATCCATCAGAAAAATGGTCATGAATGTATTTTTCTGTTTGACATTATTTATTAGAAAGGGTTTGAAAGAATGATGATAATCTCTGGGGTTTCCGGCCTGGGGATTAGTATCTCCTTAAAGAAAATACGGACAGTGCACCTTGAGGAAGTGCGTCTTTTGTCATGCCAGACTTTTCTCTTTTTTCACCTCATAAGTCAGGTAGAGTGAATCATCTCATTTTATAAACTCATTAAATACTTCTTTACTGTGTCCTCTGTTTTACAGATTTGCTGTCATGAACCGAAAAGTCCTTGATGTTTTTGGTACTGGTGCATCTAAACACTTTCAGGATTTTATCCCTAGGTTGGACCCAAGATACACGACTGTAACACCAGAGTTGCCCATCGAGTTTTCTTGAAAATGGCTGTAATTTATTAATGTGTCTTAACGTTCCATTATTTTATCCTGAAGAGTTAATTATGTTGAACAAAAAGAAGGGGGCCCGAGCTTGAATTTCAGTGTTATTTCAATGACAGATGCTCATTTTTTGTTTGTTTTTCTTACCAATCAGAAATACAGAAGCTTTATAGGAAGGTGTTGCTTAATAATTAAGCTCCCTTTGTAGCCAGAATCTGATTCTAGATCACTGTAGTGGTTGACATTATGATATATTATTGATTAAATTATGTCAACAAGCAATATTAAATAATCTATGTTAAAAAATAAGATATACTTAAAATTACTTTAAATGATGATTTTAGTTCATTCCAGTAAAATTCTTGGTTAAAGCTGAGAATATTTCTACATTTTGGGATACAAGGCTCATGGGTACATGGATTTGGTCTTATGTCTTTGGAATTGGTAACTTGAGTAGAGAAACGTGATGGGTATGAAGTGACTTTTCACAGACAATGCTGCTTTAGTGTAGAGCGATTCAACTGGCCATTTTTACTTCAGGGATTCAGAGGTGGCTCTCTTACTGTCTGGATAAATGCCATGGCATCCACACTCTTCTTCCACGGGCTCCCTCATCTCTCCCCATGGTCAGCTGGGCTGTTCTGCAGCCCAGGGAACCTATGTGCTGATGGCAGGTTAGGTACAAGTGGAAATTGACACAACTGATAAAATTGAGATGTATGGTTTAATCTTTTGCAGAAGCATTACACTTGAATATTTAAAAGCAAATGAAGTTACTTTGAAACCTCCTGTAGGTTTGCTATGTTTGCTTTCATTTATAAGGACTGCATTTTTCATAGCTAACTCTGTATGCCATTGTCGACTTAGAAGGGATCAACATTCTATGAAACAAAAATAGTTTGGGCAGGTTTGGCAGTTTTGTTTCCTCTCAGCTCTTTCACCGACACAGTGGATGTTTTACAGCTAAAAAGTGTAAAAATCCAGTGGGTTTTCAAGAATTCACTGTGTCACTAATGGCATTCAGGTTCTCTAGCCTCTTCAAAAAACCATTGTCACTGTTTTTACTCCTATTAGAATAAAGAAGTGACAGAATCCATCACTGCTGATTATGAGTTAGTTCAAGACAGATGTGATTGAAAAACCATGACTCTTAGGGTTTTTCAGGGAAAAGTTATACTTTTCTAAGTTAATCAGAGGCTTAAGTGGTTGTGATGTCTACAGTTAATATGGGGTTGATGATATATTTTTAAATATAATTTTGTTGCCAAAAAGTTTTAAGCCATTGTAAGTTAATTATGCAGTGGAACTTGTGTTGCAACAAGAATTATAACCCAGACTTTAAAAATGCTTAATCCTCCATATTCAATTTCATCAAGCCTTGTACACTTCTGTTTACATGTAACCCTACCCTTGGTTGTTATGGAAAATTGAAACCCAACAAGAAGACAGACTCTGATGCCATGGTAACAGAGAGCGACTCTTTAATTTGGGCAACGTTTTGAATTGTGGTTAACTTTTCAGAATTGACTTGTCTCTTAGGCAGTACTGTTTAAAAGATCATTTTGGTTTCAGACTTCAAAATTGATTAATAAATTAAGTTCTAAGTTTTTATTCACTGGAATCAAAATGGTGATTAGTACTGGATTTACTTATAAAATAGAGCATAACAGCAGAGAAAAAGCTCTGCTGCCGGTACCTCATTTTCTCAAAGAAAAGGCATTTTCATCCATAAGTTGTTTTTATTGACATTAAAAGGCTATGATATTGGAAGACAAATTTCACTGAAATATGATGGGGTTAGTGAAATTTTATTGGTTTAAAAGGTGCATTTCTATGATTTACTTTTTTCTTTTTTACACATGACAGTCATCTTTTATTTTATATAAAATGTGAAAAGAAATAGCCATCGTGAAGCAGAATACAATAGTGAATGTACAGCTTGAAGGATTACTTAACTGATTTGCACTGGTGAATAGAGAAGGCGGGTTTGACTTGCTTGGGACCGACTGCAAAGTGAAGTTGCTTGAGCAAACACAGAGTATTTTTGCGTTCCTGATGACAATCAAAATGAATCTCTCTCTACCTCTAACTAATCAGGTATTGACTGACAACTTGGCATCTTAAATAAAGTCAAATATATGTCTCCATTCCAACATATGTTTTTAGTCCATTTATACGCTGAAGAAATTTTGCATATGGTAACTTCCCACCAGAACTGATTGTATTAAACATTAATACGCCCCCTTACATTTCTTACATCTTTATGTCAATTGAAAAACAGAGCGTTGGAGTAATTAGAGTATTATGGTTGCTTCGTTGCCATTTCTTATATTAATAAAATCCTAGAGTTAGTACCAGCCAGGTACCAACTGAACTTATAACAGATTGTCTCAAATCTGTAGGATTCCTACCAGTTTTTCATCAGAGAGGTTGAAGTCCATTTTATTACTAATTTCTTCAATAAAACCTTTGGTTCAGTTATGTTTTTTATAAATTCCAAGTTTACTTTTATAATTTTTTTTCTTGATGTCTAAATATTGTCACTCAGCTGATACCGGGTTTATCTTTTGCCTTCATTTGTTGTTTAGTCGGTTGTTATTAATTTAAAATTTTATTCTTCGGTCTCAGATTTTACAATTTACTTTCTTCTAGAATGAACATGTCTTTTGTGATGAAACCCACATTGGTTCATTGTCACCAAGTGTTTTCTTGTTGGGCTTGAGTATCGTCTTTTTATGGATTGTGTCTAGGCTAACATTTGATTTAGTTGTGAATTGCTTCTGCGTGTATTTTACCACATCTTTGAGTTTCTGAGCCCTCTGTCAACGCACAGTCAATGAGAATCAGTTTCCCTGGCCCTTGGGGGCTTCATCGCTTGCTGACGTGGCACCCTTCCATGGTGGTGTCCTCCAGGCTGGGTAGAGGGCACGCATCCCCAGGGAGCAGTGCCCCGTGTTCTTGCTGCCTTTGAATCCGAGAAGCCACCAAGTTCAGAATCCTTGAATGCTCCCCGTGATTTATTTCCATGTGTGTAAGTAAAAAGTAGTTTGGCAGGACAACAAAAGCATGCTTACGTGGATGGCATTTTGTTCCATGAAGGCCAAAGTGTTCATTCCTGAACTGTGACCTTGCTCAGATACCTGATGAACTTTATCTCCCCCAGTACCTTGAACTTCTGCTGACTGTCTCCTCTATTCATTTTCAGATAGAGATTTTAACTGGAAATGAGTGACCAAGGAAAAACAATCAATGAAAATATAAGAAATGAATATTGTTTATATACATATTTATTAATTTCAGAAGGAAAGGGAGAGGGAGAGAGTGATAGAAGCATCAATGATGAGAGAATCATTGATTGGCTGCTTCCTGTATGCCCCCTACTGGGGATCAAACTGGAACCTTCTGGCTCAACCACTGAGCCACACCTGCCAGGCAAAATGGATTTTTTTTTTTTTTTTTTTTTTTTGGTAGGACTGGGCAGAAACCGAGAAGTAAGTAGGGTTAGCTTAATTGCGGATGCTATGAGCCTGTTCATATACAATAGTTACCTCAGCCCTGTGCCTTCCTCTTCATAGCCTTGTCCTGTTGATGCCTTAGCTTGCTTTGCAAACCCTTCTTGTGGAATTAGCCAGGGAAGGGGTGCCAGGGACTGAGGTGACCCTGAGGTGAGAAGGCCGGGCTTGCATCCCTCAGCTAGCACAGGGGGCCTCCGGGTGGAGGCTGTGTTTCTCTTTCAAGCGCTGCTCTCAGGTGACTGTCATAGCTCTGTAGTGTGAAAAGGGTAACGGCAGAGAAATGTGACTACAATGGCGGGTGACCTCTGCAAGCGGAGGGGCAGGAGGTTGGGCTGCCCCATGGGAAATCAGAGTGTGTGCTGTTTCACACTGAGAAAGAGGCAAGTGGCTTTTATTGGAGGAAAGGATTGATATCTGGTAACCGTTGTCTTGCTCTCTGGTGTGGCAGCTCTCTCTCCTCCACCCCTGTGCCCCTGCTCGCTCCTCCCCTCCTTCCCGGCCTTGGAACCTTTATGTCTGACCACTTGCTGCCCTTCCGCACTCTTCATTCCGCTTCTTCCCGCCTTACTTCTGTGGGACAGCCTGCAGCTATGTGTCCTGAAGAAGAGCGTGCTCTCTCTCCAGTCCGTGACAGCTGGGGCGTGTGTGTGTGTGTGTGTGTGTGTGTGGCGGGGCGGGGGTTGGGAGAGGGGGCTCTGAAGAAAACACCTCCAGGTTCAGAGACTTTTAATGTAACCGTGCTTTTCTCAGGCAGGAAGGGATGGAGGATAACTGCAGATTATGCATACAGACGTGGAAGGATGTTCGTCTGTACGCGGGCCCTTTAAAACCAGGACAGTCAGTCTCTTCTTAGCAGCCCCATAGCATCACCTGACTCTTGCTGTGGTTATAGGGAAGGGACAGAACTCCTTTGCTATTTCTTACTGCTTTCTCCATTATTTTCCCTAAGTGAAATTATTTATTGGGCTTTATCCTTGCAAACCTGAGAATCCCAGTAATAACACCCTATCTATCTACCTACCTATCTATCCATCCATCCATCAAGTCCACAGCAGCAGCATCAGGCCAGGTGCAATTTGTACTTTTTTCTAGCACACAAGCCACTGTGGTTGCCTGTTTTGTTGTTGTTCAGTCTGTTGCCCACCGCTACCTTCTCCCTCCGGAGCCTGGCATTCTAGTTTTGTCAGAAACCCCCAGGCTACGGGCAGTGGGTAGTTCCCTGCAGCCTCAGCATCTCCTGGGTGAGGAAGTTCTGGCTTGCACAGGGGGCCTGCGGACCTGTATTGGCTGAGTTCACCCAGCTGGATCACTTTCCTCTGCCCCTGAATTTGGACCAGGCAATGTCTGAACCTCGTTTCCTCAATGCCTGTTAAACTTCTCAGTCATCAATCAATCCCGTTAGTGTATTTTCTTTTCAGATTATTTGGTCCACAAGAGGACCCTGAGGCTACAGAGAGGGATTGGTGCCAACTGTCCAAGAAGGTTTAAAGCATGAAGTAATCCTGTTGTTGGACATTATGGGGTGGGATGCCAAAAGGGATGGGTGAGGAGATACGATAAACAGATTTTCAAGTCTCCCTCCTTTCCTCTGTGTCTTTCTTTGCCTTCCCAAACCTGCGCTATTCTACCACGTCTTTCCCTCTTATTTCTGCAGTTAGAGAAGTACTTACAGGGTAAGGGTAAGTAGGTTCCCAATTATTCCTAAGGAAACTAATACCACAACAGTAATAATACAAGAATAACCTCAGTGTTCCATGTACTTACAACTGTAAACCTACTTTTGCCCCAGCCTTTCTGTATTTTCTCGTTTGCTTCAGGGAGAAAATTGCAGGGGTGACATTGGCTGACACTAGATCAGGGAAGAGCCTGCAGGAATGTTGTTGAGTCTATAGAAAAAGAGGTCGCTTCTCTCCTCCTCTTCCCTCAGAAGTGAGCCCGTGGGATTCATTCAGAGTAGGAATGTTTGGAGCCGTGTCCCGTGACGTGTGTGACAGGTGGATGCCATCAGACCCGGCGTGCTGAAGAGGAAGTCCGAGAAAGGGGAAGAAAGGGATCCTCCCGGCATTGAGAAAGCAGGGGCAATGTCTGCAGCCTTGTTCCAAATAGAAGGCTGCCTGGAGGCCAGGGTCAGTGGAGGTATTGACTGCTCAGGGGCCTGGCTTTGTCAGAGCAGTCGGTGTTGGTGGCCTGAATGGTTGGAAGGCCTTATGATGCTTAAGAAAAGACAGCAGTTACTTCCTCCCTAAGTTAGAAATGTACTGAATGTGTTGAGAGGTTTTATATGAATAAAGTTTTTAGTCATCCTTTTGAGATTGAATTTGTAATGTAGGTGAACTCTATCCTTGCAAACCTGAAAACTGCAAATTTCTTCAAAACTACAGAAATTCAGTGGCATCTAGGTCTGAGCCTGCAGTTTTTGAAAGCCTGTGGTTCTCAAAATATAGTAAGGTTCTCTTAAATCCTAGGAGGGCAGGAAAGATAAATCTAAAAACTGGAGGGATAATTGAATCATTGGCATCTTTTTTTTTTTTGTTCCTCGCTAGTATGCTTCCTGTAACTTGGATTAAAATTGAAAAATGGGAATGCACTCGGTTATTAATTGCACAATTACTGGCTGTTTAATCCTCTTCCTTGCTGATCAAGCACTGATTTTGTTTAAAGAGCAAGTTGCTGAGCCCCAGGGGAGGGATTATATTTTTCCTGGGCCTTTCATGTCATGTCTTTCTTCTTGCCCAGATATGTTTCCAGCCTATCGGACAATGGTCACAGCCCCATTTTGTGCCAATAAGATGGAATGAAAAATGGGGAACTGTTGGAAAATGTTTTCTTCCTTAATTAAAGAACTTGATTTCTTGTTCAGAACACCAGTTAATGGGATCTGGATCTGTGGCAACAATCTTGCAAATATGAGGTGAAAAATGCAAAGGTGAAAAACCATCTTGTCAAAGATGTCAGATCAGAAAAATGGAGGGAACATGCCTCCCAGATGATATTCTTGAGCCACTGAGTCAGTGCCAGTAACCACATACCTCAGAGCATTCAGAGAACACAAACCTCCATAGCTCAAGACTGTATTAGTAAAGGATTCTTTCAGCTAAAAACATTTCTAATTGACACATTCCAATCCTATGTAGATCAGGCCTCAGATTCATTTCCCAGGCTATACCTCCCTCGCTTGACTTGAAAGCTCCCTTCTCCTTCCCTTCCCTTTTCTTTTCTTTTCTTTCCTTTTCTTTTCTTTTTCTTTTTCTTTTTAATATATTTTATTGATTTTTCACAGAGAGGAAGGGAGAGGGATAGATAGCTAGAAACATCGATGAGAGAGAATCATCGACCAGCTGCCTCCTGCACACCCTCCTACCGGGGATGTGCCCGCAACCAATATACATGCCCTTGACCGGAATCAAACCCGGGAACTTCCAGTCCGCAGGCGGACGCTCTATCCATTGAGCCAAACTGGTTTCGGCTCCTTCCCTTTTCTATATTGTATGTATCCTAAAATATTTAGCATCTCCTCTTCAAAGGTTCTGCTGATCTTTTATCTATCTTTCTGAAGCAGTTTGCTAGAACCCACCACCCCACCACCATCACCACAAAACACATTCCCGTTGATTTTGATTAGCTGTATGCTCTCCCGTTGCTTCTTCATGTTGTGGTCTATATTTGAAGAGCAAAGATCACAGCTTACCCCCCACCTCTGTGCCTAAATCGGGTTTGGGGAGGGTTATGGTGGGAGATGGTAGTCTCAGTAACTGCTTGTTGAATATGTGCTAACTCGGTGGCGTCTGCAGACTGAAAGTCCGTCCTTAGCCCTCGCCATAAAAGTCTGGAAGATATTATCCTTACAAATGATTTTGTAAATACTCCAGGAAATTGGCTCCTCCTGCCACTCCAGCAGCGAAGCCAGTTTGGCTCCAGGTCTTCGAGAAATGATTTGTCATCTGTTTCATTTGTTTGCTTTTTCCTGACACAGCTGGAACTCTGGATTGTTCCCCACTTAAAAAACTGCCAAATCCAAACCAGAAGTAGACGGGGCAGGACACAGGCTCTTCCTTCCCACTCGTCTTCACAGGGTAGAAGCCACAGGCAGTTTGCCTCGGGTTACCCTCCGTGTATGCTTTTTTCAGTAGCACATTAGGATTATTCTTTTCCTGTAACAGGATCTTAAGATACTCGAGAGGGAAAGGCTTGGGAGTGTTCTTATCAATATAGGCAGGTCCCTTACACATAGCTTCTTGTCATACTTTTAGGGGGGAAAGAAGGAAACCACATGTATGAGGTGCCTTTGACATATTGCTTACATCACAAATTGCTTACATCACATTCAGACCTCACAACCTATGAGGTGGATATTATTAGTGCTGTCGTACCAATGGGAGAACTGGGAGTCAGAGAGGCTGGTGCTTTGCCCGGCTGGCAATACTGGAATTTGAGCTCGGATCTCTAAGAGTTGAACGTTTGTTTGTTTTTCTCCCCTCAGAACATAGCTGTACCTCTCCAAAAGTAGCATCTTCACTCCCCTCCTGTAAAAGTTATCCTATAACATTTTAATAAAAATCTTGCCTTCTAAATGGTTTTGACATTTACTTTGACCTCTGATAGAAGAACAGGAACTGGAATTATCTTCTCACTTGAAAACACTTGAAAGAATTCCTGATAAGATATATGAAACAACAGTTTTAATACACTAGATAATAATAATAATAATCAAGCACTGCAGGCCAGTGGGCTCGGAGAGAAGAAAAGCAAATGGGTTGAGTCCTGTGCTTGCCCCAGCTGATTGCAGCTCCGGGAGAGAGCACCACAGCAGAGCCCCGAGGTCTCCCTGAGCTGAGGAAACAGGCCTGGGGTCCAGAGAGGCCAAAGTGGGGGACCCTCAGAGGGCTGAGTACAAGAGAGGAGTGCGCTGCACAGCAGGAAAGCGGAGGGATCTGAAGAGGGTCCCCTGTGGGACTGTCCACACGGGAGGAGACTGCTGAAGCTGCGGAAGGAACCACCATCGGAGTTCACACAAAGCAACATCTATCAATAGTTGGTGTCCCTGCTAGTCAGAGTAGAGAACTGTAATTCAAACGGCTCTGGATAGCAGAGCCTGACATGTTTTGCTTCAGTAGGAGAGCAAAATTAGCCATGGGTTAAAGCCTCAAAAGTATCAAACCGTTTATAAGTAACAATATCCTACAACAAAGTATAAGAATATGGGGATACAGGTATGTTCAATATGCAACAAGGTAAAATTCAAAATGTTTGGCATCTAATAAAAAATGGCCAGGCATGCGAGAAATCAGAAGATACAACCACTAAGAGGGGGGCGGGGGGCGGCGCAGGGGAGAAGGAAAGGAAACAGAAATGACACGAATAATACAATTATTGTTTGTACAAAAGGCTATTGTAACTATATATTGCGTGGTCAAGAAGTAGAAATGAGATAGAGCATGTGAAGTAGAGGCACAGAAGATAGAAAAAGGATGAGAAAATAACATGAAAGAGATGATAAATACACCGAGTGGAGTAGAAAGCAAAAGAAAAGGTTACAGAACTTGAAGACTTATCAGTAAAAGCTACTCTAAACTATTTGAGTTAAACATGGCAAGCAGTGGTCAAAGCTTCCATGAACAGGGCTACTCCAGGCAGCCTGGTAAACAGAGGCGAGTACGTGGGTGTGAGAAAGGAAAAGGTATGGGAAAATGTTTTTATTTTGTGTTTTCATTGTCTTTCACATCATTTGAAGACAAAATGTCCAACATTTAAAAAAATTGGTGAAAACTATAAATTCACAGATCCAAGAAGCTTAATGAATTCAAGAACAAGAGATACAAAGACAGTTACACCAAGGCACAGCTTAAGTTAGTTTAAACCAGTAATAAAAGACAATGGCATGGGGAGGGCAGTGCATGTTACATACAGGGAAGGAGCTCAGGTAAAAATGGCAGGAAACTTCTCGGAAACAGTGGAAACTGCGGCACAGTGGAACACCATCTTTAATGATAGAAGGAACAAAACCGAACCTGCCACCTAGGTCCCTGTGTTCGGGGACAATATCTTTCAAACAAAGAGGCCAAATGCTTTTTCAAATATCTAGAAGCTGAACGACTGTATCACTGGTAGACCTTACTACAAGAAGTGTTTTAAAAAGTCAAACATATAAAATAATTCCATGTGGAAATATAGTAAATATATGGATAAACATGAAAACTTTTAAATTGTCATTTTTAAATTTCTTTGAAAGATAATTGACTACTGAAAGCAAAAATAGTGACAGTTTATTGTGGAGTTTATGACACATGTCAAAGTAAAACAACTGCACAGTTTAGGAAGAGGAAATGGAGGTATTGTATGGTAATAGTCTTAGACTATAATGAAGTGGTGAATATCACTTGAACTAAAACAGCAGTAAGTTATAAAAGATGTATAGTATAGCTCAGGTAATCTCCTCCCTCCCCCGCAAAGAAGTGTTATAACTAATAAGCCAACAACAAGAACAAAAATACAGTGGAGTGAGTTAGTATTCAGTTAATCTGAGTGAAAGAAGAAAAAGGTGGGGAGTGGGAACAAAGATAAAACAAAGTAAATAGCAAGATAATAGATTTATTGGTAAGTCTCAACTATATCAATAATCACATTGATTGTAGATGATGTAAACAATAAAAATGGAGAGATTGTCACATTGAGTAAAAAAAAGGCAAGGCTCAACTATATGCTGCCCAATGAAACCCACTTTTAAGTATAAAGACACTCGTTTAAAATAAAAACATGGAGAAAATATATCATGGTCACAATAATTTAAAGAAAACATGAACTGAAGTAATAGTGAACAGTTAGATTTCAGACTTTGAGAATATTTCCAAGATTAGGATTAGCATGGTTGTTTATAATGATAAAGGGTCAGTTCAACAAGAGGAAATTACAATCTTAAATGTTTATATGCATATTAATTTCTCAATATGTGAGGAAAAGACAAACTACATAGAGAAAAATAACCAACCCACACACATAGTTGCATGTTTCAACACCTTCAATAATTGAAAAAACATGTAGACAGAACAGTATTTTGAAGACTTGGAAGCCACTATCTGCCATCTTGACCTACTGGGCCTGTAGCACGCCACCGAGCAGCACAATGCACACTCCCTTCATGTACATCCAGAACATTTCCAAAAGAGTCCATATTTGGGGTTACAAAGCAAGTCACAATAAAAGGTTCAAATCATACAAAGTATATTCTCTGGCAAAAGAAAAAGGAAAATTAGAAATCAATAACAGATCTGGAGAGTCCCCAAATATTTGAAAACTGAACAACATGTTTATAATGAAGAAATAAAAATAACTTAGAAATATATTGAGTTGAAGGAAGATGAAAACAACATATTGAAATTTATTAGCTACAGATAAGGTAATATTTAGAGTAAAAATTGTAACACTAGCTGTCTTTATTAAAATAGAACAAAAATCTAAATCTGTGATTTCAACTTTCATCTTAAATATCCAGAAGAAAGCGCAAGTTAACCCCAAAGTAAGCAGAAAAAGAAAGTAATAAGCATAAGATCAGAAATCAAATAAAAATGGGAAAATGAGAAAAATTAATGAGACCAAGGGCTGCTTCTTTGAGAAAAATCAATAAAATTGACAAACCTCTAGCCAAACAGACTGATAGAAATAAAAAGATGACACAGGACTATCAGGAATAAGAGAGGAATATCATTCCATAGTCTTCAGAATTTAAAAGCATATTCAACTTTATAAACAACTTTATGCCAATAACATTTATGATTTAAATGAAATGGCAAACATCTTAAAAATACAAATAAACAAATCTCTTGAAAGAAGGACTTGTCAGTCTGAATAGTGCCGTATCTATTAAAGAAATTGTATTTTTAGTTAGGTCAAAGCCTTCCCACAAACAAACCTGTAGTACCAACTGTGTTTACTGCTAAGTCCCACAAAACATCTTAAGTAAGAAATAATACCAATTCATACTTTTCAGAAAGCAAAAGAGGGAAAAATCTCCACCTCATTCTACTAAGCCAGCATTTTTCTGATACTAAAATCAGGCAAACAAATTACAAGAAAAGAAAACTAAAGCTCAACATCCTTGCTGATCATAGAGACAATTTTTTTTTTAAACCTCACCCAATGATGTGCTTAGAGGAACAGGGAGAGAGAGACAACGTCAATGTGAGAGAGAAACACTGATCAGTTGCCTTCCATATATACCCTTCACCCCGCCCCACCTCCCCACCCCTTTATCTCTCTTGCCCAGGGATCGAACTTGCAACCCACATATGTGCAACCTTTCAGTGCATGAGGCAATGCTCCAACCAACTGAGCCACACTGGCTGGGCATAGACAAAACAATTAAAAAATTCTTTAGCAAAATGAACATAATATCTAACAAGTTAACACATCCTGACCAAGTGGAGTTTTTCAGGAACACAAGATTGGTTTAACAATGAAAAATTAATAGAACCCACTAAAAGAAGGAAAACCATATGGTCAACTCAATAGGGTCAGGAATAGCATTTGACAAAATCTAGCCACTCATTTCTCATAACTATTGAGCAAACTAGGAATAGGAATTTCCTCAAACCAGGAATAAAAGAGAATTTCTAATAGGGCATTTACAAAAAAAAACCTATAGCTAACATCATTGATCCTTAATTGTGAATGACTTAATGTTTTCCAATAGCAATAAGGCAAGGATGTCTGCTCTTACTACCCATTTCTATTCAATATTGCACTGCAAATTCTCGTCATTATAATCAGATATGAAAAAAAAAACCACCCAAATGGAAAACAGTAAGTCTTTATGGCAGACAACATTGTCTATGTAGAAAATCATACGACATCTTAAAAAACAATAAAAAAAACCCCACAAATGATTAGATTTGATAAGTGAGTTTTCCAAGTGAGCTCTAAAATATATATAGACATGCAAAAAGATAAAGTGGTTAAAACTCCTTTAAAAAAAAAAACAGAGGGGCTTAAACTATTTGATTTCAAGACTTATTATAAAGCTACCAAAAGCCATGTGTCTAATATTGGTATGAAGATGGACAAATAGCTCTATCAAGAATAATGAGTCTAGAAATCAACCTAGACATATTTAGTTAACTGATTTTTGGCAAAGATGCTATGCTAATTTAATGGGGAAAGGAAACTCTTTTTAACAAATGTACTGAAACAATTGCTGCTCATACGCAAAAACAAAATACCGTAGAACACACACACACACACACAAATAGCAAAAAACCTTCACAAAAAAAAAAAAAATCTACTTTGGCCCTTTTAAAAAAATGAACTCATACCATATATAAATTTTTAACTCAAAATGTATCATAGACCTAATTACGAAACCTAAAATTATAAAACTTTTGGAAGAAAAAAAATAAGACAAATTCTTTGTGACCTTAGGTTAGGCAAAAATTTCTTAGATATACCAAAGTACAGCCCATAAAAAAAGGGGGAAAAAATGATAAATTGGAGTTCCATCAAAATACAAAACTTATGGCTCATCAAAAGATAAGATGAGAATTAATTTTAAGAGAATTAAAAGACAACATATTAGAAGAAAATATTTACAAATCACATCTCCAATAAAGTGCTTTATGCCCAAAATATAAAGAACTGAAAATTCAGTGGAGAGAGATATTTCTGGTATGACAGCATAAGCAGGTCTGCTGACTTGCTCTACAAAGAAATTGGTGAAAATTCAACTATTTAAAACCTCAGGAAATAGTCCTAAGGACAAACAGTAAACGAAGGAAGAAACATTCCTTTAAGAAAAGCTATGAAAATTCATTAAGAAAGGTAAATTTTACTTTGAGTCAGAAAAGTGAATCTTAAGCTTCAATAAGCAATTCTGTGGTATTTGAATCAAGACTCCTCCCACTCTCTCCCCTCTCAGTTGAGCAAAGTAGAGATTCCAGACACATGGCCCCCTCTTTCTGGCTCCATGCTTTCTTCCAGAAACTGCAGGATGTTAGTGATCCCCACCCTGCCTGCAGCTGCTGGTTGATGAGGCTACGTCCCAGGCAATTGCAGGTGAGTGGTTGGAGCTCCCTTCTACCCAGCCCCCACTCTGGGAATGGACACAGCATGTTGGCAAGACTGGGGCCCCGAGGGTCCTTTCCCCATCTTAGGTGGTGTTTCCATGCTGTGAAAGGCAAGCTAAGGAGACAGGCGACTGCCCGTCCCCTCCCTCGCTGAGAACTCGCTCCTGGAGTGGAAGTGTCATTCATAAGCAGCTTGCCATTGTCCCCACGCCCAGCTTCAGAGTCAGGGAAAGGTGGAAGGGAGCCCCCTCACCTGGGCATCCCCAAAGCTGCACCTCCTGAGGAGCAGCATCGGAGGCTAACACTGGGGGAGAAAAGGCGTTCACTGAAATTCAGCTAGTCACTACAAAAGCCCGAGGTAGGGAGGAGTCCATTATCCAGAGTTACTACAATACTTTATCTAAAATG